AAAAGTGACTAATAAGACGAGCTTGTAAGAGCCACTCTAGGTTTGAATAATTAGCCCCACCCCTAACCCCCCCCCCCCCTAAAAATGTAGTAGGATTTGACACGAGTAGAATAGGCTCGTTTTCCGCCGTCTCCCGGGTTTGCGGGCTCATTTTCCCGAGCAGCGGCTGGTAATCGAGTCTACGAGTAGAACAGAGAACACAACACTTTAATCACTACGAGACAGACAAATCCATTCTGGTACAGAAGCTACGGATGTGTTATTCCCCTGAGCGGTTCAGACAGGTTTTTAGTATTATCTACTTCATATATGACAGCATAAACTGTCCCACTACAAAAAAGAGAGATGTAATCAATCCTCCTAAGGAGCTTAGAAGAATTCTGTTATTGATTTTCAATAACCTTCAAAACTGTTTTTTTTTTCTCAGTTAATTCACAGTAAAGTAGTGGACACTTCTATCGTATTTCCCCACCGACTGGGCCCTCCTTACAAGAGAGCACTGCGCAATCTCATGGCAGATTACCTTAAAAAAATTATTCAGGATAGTGGTGAGCTGTGAAAATTACTTTTAAATGACAAACGTACCGTAAATCCTCTATTAAGCCCCCCGGGGAGCTTACTTATTTCAAATGCATTTAAGGGGGGTTGGGTTTAATAGAGACGAGGGGCTTATTTAATTTGGCAAAGACGATGGTATTAGTTCTCCATAAAGAACTAGAATTAGACTGCGAGCGGTCTCTTATTTTTCTTTGGAGGTACCCAGTAATTTGCATAATTTTAACTTTTCGCTCAAGACGTTGAAGGTCATGCGCGCAGCAAAAACGAGTCCATTTGGTGAAGAAACCATCCTGGACTAGTCCACACGAAGTTTTACAGTCGTGATTGGTTAATACAGTCAAACATTTATTAGTTAAGAATGATAAGGGGGAGGGGGGCTTATTAACTTTCTTCTCCTGAAAAGGGAGACTTATTTGAGAGGGGTGGAGTAATAGAGGATTTACGGTAAGCTTGGTGACAAAGATATATGTCTGTTAAGCATCTTATTTTCACTTGCAAACAATAGTGACTGACTTTGAAAACTGTCAGGCTGAACAGTTTTAAAAGCCCGGAAGCAATCCGTTATAAAAATTACAGCCTCGTGGAATAGAAATATGTCTCCTAAGCATTTTACTGGAAATTGTTAACAACAGTGATGAACTTTGCAAAGTTTATGGCTGAGAAAGGCAAGTTTCAAAACTCCGACTAAGATCGTTTTTAATCTTCAATTTTGCCCACCCCTGCCTTTCTTTTGTATTTGCTCTGTTCTTTAACCTCCCTTCAATGCTGTAAGCGAATATTTGAGCGTTTCAGTCAATAAGGTGACCAGTTCCGAACTTCCCACTATCCATGTTAGGTTAACGTTCGTAACACAGCTCCTTTAACCAAAAAGTTTGAGCACAGAGCGTGCACTAACTGGAGACCACGTACTGTTGTATTTTAGTCGAGGGACACGACAGCCATGAAGATGCCAGAGCCTGTTTAGAACTGATGAGATGGAAAGTGAAAGAAGATATGAAAAGAACAGCGAGGCACAAGTCACCTCGCTTGTCGCTTGGCTAGGGCACAACATATTTACCTCTATCAAATCGGCAAATGTTAGTTCATTTGTCTAGTCTGTGTGAAATTGTTTTATTGGTGAACTGTCTGGCAAGGAATCTGTTTGGTTGCTAAATTTACATAAAATGTATCTATGCTGAAATAGAGAAAATATCACTCTAGTGTTGCAGGTGTGCAAGAATAACTTAAAATCCATAATTGTCTTGTTGTAGACCTTATTCACGATACCCACTACCCTTTCACGCTCATTAGGGTTGATGGGATAAAAGTGATGTCCGCGGTATTTCAGGGAGCAAACAAGTGGTAAAAATTTGCCAAATAATCATAACTATGACAAAATTCTCAAATGCGATTGGCCATCAACTGCCCTGATTTCAGCCTTAATAGGACAGTTTAATAGGACATACGCGCAATCACGCGCGCGTTTAAATGGCCTTTCTTTCACTACTGGCAAAAAAATATATATCTTGGAATTTCCTGCGTTTTGATTAAAAAAAAAAGAGCCTTATATATCACAAATTTTGTTAAAGTTATGATTAATTGGTAACAGAACTTCGTGTCGTCCAATTCGCTCTGTACTGATACTCGTGATTGAACAAATCGGACGACCGCGTATTGTTAGTCATTCGTATGATTACAGACCGAATTGGACTCCACTCGGCCCTGTTACCATTACTAATACGAGTAATCGCGATCGAGTTTGCATTTATTCTCGCAAAATGAGACCGCGATTGATGACTGGTATCGTGAATAAGGGCTATTGTTTTTAAGTAAAATCCAACTAGTGATCTTTTATCAATGCCACGTGTTCTGATCGGTTGAGCTAGTACTAGGCTATATGTAATAGCCCACTAGTAGCGAAAAGCGCGGGCTTTTTAGCGGCAAAAAGGGATTAAAGTCTAGCTTTAACTAGCTAAAATTTTTTATTCTCGTTATTTCTGACCCACTAGTTGGATTTTACTAAAACAATTATTCCTCTCGCACTCATGGCCTCTGAGTCAATAGCCCATGAGGCCTTCGGCCTCAGGGGCTATTGACTCAGAGCACATTCGGGCTCGAGGAATAATTGTTAAGTATTTTTTGTTGTGTCTCTGCATTTAAGGGTCAGTTTGGGTGCGTGGGTAACAAAATTCGTTTTTGCTTATTGGAGGCACANTAAAGTTATGATTAATTGGTAACAGAACTTCGTGTCGTCCAATTCGCTCTGTACTGATACTCGTGATTGAACAAATCGGACGACCGCGTATTGTTAGTCATTCGTATGATTACAGACCGAATTGGACTCCACTCGGCCCTGTTACCATTACTAATACGAGTAATCGCGATCGAGTTTGCATTTATTCTCGCAAAATGAGACCGCGATTGATGACTGGTATCGTGAATAAGGGCTATTGTTTTTAAGTAAAATCCAACTAGTGATCTTTTATCAATGCCACGTGTTCTGATCGGTTGAGCTAGTACTAGGCTATATGTAATAGCCCACTAGTAGCGAAAAGCGCGGGCTTTTTAGCGGCAAAAAGGGATTAAAGTCTAGCTTTAACTAGCTAAAATTTTTTATTCTCGTTATTTCTGACCCACTAGTTGGATTTTACTAAAACAATTATTCCTCTCGCACTCATGGCCTCTGAGTCAATAGCCCATGAGGCCTTCGGCCTCAGGGGCTATTGACTCAGAGCACATTCGGGCTCGAGGAATAATTGTTAAGTATTTTTTGTTGTGTCTCTGCATTTAAGGGTCAGTTTGGGTGCGTGGGTAACAAAATTCGTTTTTGCTTATTGGAGGCACAAGAATGATAAATCACGCCAGTCTCTTTACAACAATGTTTTGTCTACTATACTTCTGTCCTAACCAAACGTCTGTTATATTGGCTTGCGTTGCCCTCCCTAAATTTTCTTTTTCCGTTGCTGTTTTTGAATGTTCTTCGTCACCGACGAGCGAACTTTGTAGCGTCTCTTTGCAAACGTTTTGCAAAAAGAAATAAAAAGTCACATCCCAAATGTCTAAGTATACTTCATTATCTGTGAACATCAAAACTATACATCCGAAAGCCCCAGATAAAGGGATTTGCGTTTCGCGAACTAGGTAAACTTCCATATTCAGTTTGTATTTTGTCCTTATTTATGTAAAAGTATTAATATATCAAAAATAAAGTAATATTTATTTATATCTTGGTTTATGATGTAACTAAAATAACAAAGTACAATGTTAGAGGAATTGTTGTTTTAAGTCAATTGTGTGCAAAATTCACCACTTACTGTTTTTACCCATAAACAAAGTTCCTGTAGAGTTATGAAGAAAATATGAAACAAATTTCTGGTCCCATGTCCCAATTGGGGCTTTTAATTTCCAATGTTAACAAACGATCATTTACAGAAAGTAAAAATAACGTAATGACAATACGGGCTAAAACTTACAATTTTTTTTAAGATGAATTGAAATGAATGTAATCCTGAAAATATTACATAAGTCACGACGTTTAAAAGGATCAATGTTCATACCTTTCTTGATATCCTCGTTTAACTGATTCCTAATGTAATACTGTTGATCGCGCAGAAGAAAAATATTAATGGTCTCTGCGCAGTCAACGTTGTCGAAAACGTAGTGTCTAAGTGATCCTTCAGTCTGCCGTGTGACTGTGGATATTTAAAAAAAAACGTTAATAACCGGTATGGTCTCAAGGTAAATTGCGGCAGGGTCAAAAAATTGCATGTAGAATTTTAAAACCATGGTTACCGTCGCGAAACTGTAACATGTACTTTATTGAAAGCCAACCTAGTTCTGTAACGGTCGCAGAAAGCGGATCACATTTTCTTTTTCCAGTTAGTATCCTGGCGGCACAATTATTTAATAGCTGAAGTTTCTGGATATTCTGTTGCGTTGTTCTCTGACCAAAGAGTCGAACAGTAAAATAATTTGCGTAACACTAAAGAGTTCAAAATGACTAAAAGAACGTGTTTTGTGAGTAGGTACCGGACACTAACTAACAATAGACCTTGTCACAGTTTTCGACGCCATCTTGACGAGTAGGCAAACGTGTGAGAAATTACAGTGTTTGCATGAGAATCTAATGTCGAATAATTTCCGTAAAAACGACTGTTCTGAAAAAAATATCAATTGTAACCTAAAGCTACAAAGCAAAGGGTTGTCCTAAAAAAAATTGGGGGCGTACCTGTGCTTAAATTTCTCCTTTGCTTGCTTTAGATTTTCCACATATTTGTCTGTAATTTTCTCGGGACTTTCTTACAGACAAATGTATAGAAAATTTTAAAAAGTGTTTCTAGGTCTTCTAGTGCATGTAACGCCCTCAAATTTTTTCAGGAGAATTCTTAGGAGTGAAGCTTTAGTTTACAAATCATATTTTTTTCAAAACAGTCTTTCTACGGAAATTATTCGACGTTTGATTCTCATACAATCACTGTAATTTCTCACGCGTTTGCCTACTCGTCAAGATGGCGTCGAAAACCGTGACAAGGTCTATTTCCTATCATCGCGTAATTGAGTCTAGTGGGTGAGCAAGACGAGTAGTTCACATTTGCAACCAACAACTCATNAACAGTCTTTCTACGGAAATTATTCGACGTTTGATTCTCATACAATCACTGTAATTTCTCACGCGTTTGCCTACTCGTCAAGATGGCGTCGAAAACCGTGACAAGGTCTATTTCCTATCATCGCGTAATTGAGTCTAGTGGGTGAGCAAGACGAGTAGTTCACATTTGCAACCAACAACTCATTTTAAATGCTCGCTTGAAGCCCCGACACCTAAATAATCACTTGGGCTGCATAACAACATAGTTTTGAACTCGGAAATCCATAATTTTCTGCAAGAGTTGTGCTCTTTAAAGCCTTGCTAGGAAATATTGTAAAACATTCCGCAAAGAGAGCTGTTTGTTTTTCTCTGTCTTGAGGGATCGGCTATTTTAGATTAATCAACCAAATGATGACCGTTCAAGTTGACGCGATAGTCTCGAACTGAAAGTATGAAACATAAACCAGCCACTGTCACTTAATTTATTGGTTGTCGACTTTGTCAGAGAAAGGGAGAGGGGGCTAGTTTCAAAAGAATCTGTGTTGCTGCGTACTGAGTCAGTGTGCGAATGAAACTTAATTTACCACATGAAAGGATTCAAATAACCTGAAACTATTTTAAACCTAAGGGCCTAAATAGAATGAGCCTTTTTATTAACAAAAAAGCGGAAAGTTGGTTTAAGGTGGCTCCGTAATTAATACGGGCGCATTTAGCTGTGACGAAGTTTCCGTCATAACTTTTTCGTTTTTAACGCGATGGCTGAGAAACTTTGCAAAGAACAACAGATATCATTCGGCAATAGTACGAAATATTCCGATTTCATTGATGGTAAATATATTTTACTAAATTAGGGCTTAAAAGGACCCTTCTGTTCAAAGAAGTTATAGGCTGTGTTTTCACAATTCTTGTGAAATTTGACATTCATTTTCTAGGATTCCCCTGAGAGATTCTCTTTGGTGTTCTTACAGATGACTAATTACATCTTTAGCCCTTCAAAAATGTAAAAAAGTATTCAATATTCTTTAAATTATTTTGGTGCAAGGTCTTTGTCCACTGAGAATTAAAAGTACTCAATTTTTTTGCAATTGTCTAATTATTTATGTTTCTTATGCAAAATTTCAGATGGGAAGCGCGTTTTTAATAAGGATGAAAACTTAGACACATTTCACCTGTTTAATCTTAAAGTTCTACAAACAAAAACGTTTTCAAACAATTAATGGTTCAACTGACCCAATTAGAAAGCTAATAACATGGAAATTTTTTTTAAAATCGACACTATTATAGCGACTTGTACAGTAAGCACATGCCAGTTAAGTTAAAATTTATCTTCCTGTTTTCGTAAGTACCCACGAATACTGAATGACTAAATAAAGGGTCAAAAGGAACTCTTTTAGGGCAAGAATACTACCATTAA